TCGGGGGGGGGGGGGCCATGACGCCAGTGGGCTGTGGGCCGAGACGGAGTACTAGTAGTCTCCGAGTCTCCGCCCAGCTGTCCAGAATTCGAATGCTCCAGTCACAGATCTCAATTTCACGGAGGAAAGGATGTCAACAACCGACAGCCCCGCCAGTGCTGCAAAGGTCAACAAGACACCCAAGCCGTGTCGGTCCACAGAGCCAGTTCTTCAAGTGGTTTGGCCTAGATCAGCAGCCATCATCAGGAGTGAAATGAAGGCCCTGTGCACCGAACAGCCACATATGATCTGCGGCATCATTTCACCGCCTGCAAAGTGAAAAGATCCCCCGAAGTGAGCGGATTTCGCGCAATCTGAGTCGTCTGGCCAACCTTTTGACCTTGGTCTGCCTTCTTTGGCCTTCTCTTGTCCGCAGAAAGCGAAATGCACGTGCGCCGAGATTTTTCGCGAGGAGACGGCGACAAACCCGCAAACCCTGATTTGCGAATGAGAGACAGTTTTTCACAATTTCCGTCCGCGGTCGGCTTTCCAGCCTCATTTCACCCACAGATCCTTCATTTCTCTTCCCTTTGAGCTGGTTTTCGGCTTGTGTGGTCCGCCTCACTCTGTTCCACCACTCCCAACTTGTCCGGACCTCATCCGCCACTTCCTTCCTCCACCGCCGTGCCCCGGGCGAGGCCTCGCCCGATAGTGTCCTGCCTTGTGTGAACCGGCCGGCGACTGCCTGGTGAGTTCCTGGCGTCAGCGTAGTGCGCGCGCCTTGCTTCTCCGTCAAACGACCTCCATCAGGTGAGCGCATAAGAGTTTGCTTTCTCGCGTCATGCCTCATGGCTGTGGTGATGGCGTGTCGTATGGATGATCAGTGGAGATTAATGCATGGTGTGTTTCGATGCAGTGTGTGTTCTCATACGCCTCCCTTCGTCATATCTGTCCCTTTTTTAAGAGGTCTTTGAGGAGGGGGTTGTCGAGGAGACGGCGGCGCAGGAGACGGCAGACGAGGGAGAGGAGGGGGCCAGCGAGGAGACGCCCTTCCAGCGGGCGTGGAGGGAGACTTTTGAGACAAGCCAACGGCGCGAGCGGCTCAGGCAGCAGGTCAGCTGCACCCACAATGCCCCATTCGATTGGAAGCTCTCAACTTTCTAATGGTGTCCTGGTTGGCTTCTCAGTCCAAAAACAAGACAAAGACGTTCGAGGACCGACTGCGCGAGAGTTCCCACCGACACCTCCGCAAGGTCGCCGGCAGCGGCTACAGGAAGCCCCAGCCCAAGCTGCCCTCGGTGCCGGAGCAGACGAGAGGTGCGCTGAGACGATACGTCGAAAGACAAGCCGTGTGCCTGTCCTTCACTGTCTGCTTCTGTGTCTCTCTCAGCCAAGAAGATCGTGCTTCCAAGGAAGGCGACGCTGGACGGCACGCTGCTGCCGGGAGCGAGGCCACCTGCCCCAAAACCGTTCCTGGTGGGTGTTGCGCGCCGCCCCCTGGACGGAACATTCCCGCCTCCCACCTTCAAGCCCTATAAAAGGAGCTCCGGTGTTTCCGATGACGAGATCTACAGGGCCACTCTCGTCACAATTGTATCATGTGTGTGATCAGGGAAAGCGAACGACGAGCGGCAGCCCAGGACGGTCCAACTTTGAGCTCTCAGTTCCCTCCACCCTCTCACTGACCACCAGCCTTTCAACCCTCCAACTTGTGGAGGAGAGAGAGGAGACGGCTGTCTCTCTCTCTGTCGCTCGCTGTGTTGCACATGTGGAGC